AAAAAAATATTTAAATTTCTTTTCTTTTCCTGAGGAGAGTGATGAGGCTCCGCCTCCCTTGCCTCTAGTGACTGCACTTCCTTGATTAATAAACCATATATAGCTTTTGGTTTAGCATAAGGTGAGAAACTCAAACAGTACAATGATGTGATATCAAGTCACATTCTAAAAGTAATTGTACTACAAACAAGTATTTTTGGTTGTTGATATCGTTGATTTAAGTTAATTAGTTTAATGTCATGGTTCTGAGTAATGGCCCTAATCAATTCAGGACTCCTGAGACTGTGGTTTTCTCAAAGATCCATTTTATTGCGTACATCATATCGGCATGTTCAGATGTGAAACCAACTCTAAATATTTCCTGTGTTTTGTCATAATAAAAGAAATAGACATCCCCCCACCCCCCTAGTGTCACAGGTCACGTTAGCCAACCAAGTAGATGGCAATCTTTAGGCCAACCGGGAGATACATTAAGATGTGTGCTTTTGACTCCTTCATCAAGCTAGATGATAAAAAGAATGTTATCTGCTATGGCCTTAAGTTTGAATAAGGATTACAAATATTCAGGTTAGGCTCTGCCATGCTGTGATGGTTTCAAGTTGTATTTTGGACTGCACTCAAGCACCAGTCCTTCATTTTGGAAACTACACAATCTGCCTATTATTCAGATAGGCAAATTTTCTTAGATATTTTATATTTTCAAAAAGGGAGGTAAGCATTGTTTGATTGCATTATATCCAAGCATTTGCAACATATACATATACATTTTCTTTTAACTAGGTTCTTACTAATGGCATCATAGCAGTGAGTAAGCCATCAAGAGAAGATGAATATCTTGGTCAATTTCCTCTTAGTTTTGGAGGTATTGCTCCCTTTTATGCTGACTTGGATACTACAGGTGGATATGGAAATGTGTATTACAGGGAAGATTCTTCCCCTGAGATCCTCCAGCTTGCTACCATGTACATCAAAAGGGGTTTTCCAAATACTACCTTTGATCCAGAGAGTGTTGTCATTGTTACCTGGGATTCTGTGGCTCCTTATGTAAGATCTGGACAAGACGCTACTTTAGAAGTGAAGGTAAGCAGGCGACAGTCTAGTACTGAAAAAAATCATTCATTGACTATTTTTTAATGCTGAAAGTGTAGATGATTCTGTGCATGCTTACTGAGAATTAATTCCCACTGAAACCACATGTTTTTATCTCCTCGGAAATAGATTTAGAGTACAACCCTAAAGTGGAATTAATTATACACATACATACACACATCAGGAAAACAAGGCTCTCTTCATCTAAATGTGTTTTAATTAATTTAACTTTAATTACATTTTGTTTTTACACTTGAACACTGTTTATTATTTCTTTATTGCTTTGAGATATTTTGGAAATAGAATAAAACAGTTTAATAAATAACGACTTATGAAAGGGAGTTTGCTCATTTCTGAATTATACTACTTTGTGATGTTCGGTGCTTAGAGAAAAACTTGCTTTGGCATGAACAATTTAATGTTTCTTATAAAAATTCTAAATTTTCTAGCTTTTTTTCTTTAAAGTCTTGATTCTGTATTCCAGTTTTTCTTAACTTGGAACTTTCAGAAACTCCCAGAATTTCTAGCCTGCATGGGAATATGGAATTCCATGCTAGCTAGGAATTCTGGGAACTTGAAATTCAGTGGAACTGGAGCATGCTAAGTTGGGTAAGCTTATTATTGTCTTCTGCAATAAATAATTAATCTGGCTTGTTTTATGAAATGTATATCATTCAGGTGTTTAATTATTTTTTAAAATTTTTTTCAAATGAAATTTAAATCTTCCCCGCAGAGAAACACATTCCAGGCTGTTTTAGCCTCTTCTGATGCTAGTTCCTATGCGGTTTTCCTTTATCCAGAAGATGGTTTGCAGTTCTATAGTACACATTCCAAAAATGATAACATAGTTGTCCCAGCAACGGTTGGCTTCAGCCAACCTTCTACAAATTACTTCTTATGGGTGAAAGCTGGATCATACAATATAATTGCTAATGATGAAGAGATCCTTAGGAACCTGGGCAAGTATGTGGTTTTCATTATTTTTTCCAAAATAATTTTCTATTTTCTAGTAATTCTATAAATCTTAATGGTAATTTTCAATGAATAAAATGTTACTCTTTAATTTGCATCACATGAAGGACCCAGAAATTGTAGGTGGAAAATACTGATAGCTACTAATGTATAATGTGCCCAATCCTTTTCGTATTGTAAGAGACAGTTGGTTTTTTTAAAAAAAAAGAATAGTCTAAAATGGACAACTAAGACAAAAAGAGATAGAGGAGGAAGAAGTATGGTGGTATCAGTGTGTGTGAACATATTAGATGTCCTTACATACATTACTTAGAGGTTACAGAACCTGTTCATTACATGTAAGTAGTATTTCATATTGGAAACTGTAAGGGTGTATTCAGAGCTAATCTGAAGCAATGTGTTGCTGAAATAAGTGCCAGTGTGGACCTTATGCATGTTTATTGGGATAAAAGTTACAAGAGAACAAAATACATTTAGTTAGAAATGTTATATACTACTAAGATTTTTTAAGATAATAAAGCAATGCATAGTTTTTCATTATTCAAAGAGAGAAAGGGTTATAACGTTTCCCAGTTCAAATGCTCATTATCTTTCTGGGAACTTCAGTTGATCTTCCTTAGACAACACCAGTTCCAAGAGACATATAGCAATTGTAAGTTTCCAGATTTTATTCTGCAGCTTGGAAGGCCTGATTCTGAAATAAAAATTTATATTAAACAGAAATGAATTTTCTATCTCTCTAAAATTCAGGTCTATGGTGTGCTCTGTATATTTGTATAAACTGTATGTATATATTTACTTTCTCTAAGGTCATAAGTACTCCTGAAATATTATTTAGTCTTGTGCAATAATTTTTACACTCAAGCCTTCCCATTTTGTGTTGAAGTTATTGAGGATTATTTTACTCCAGCCATATTTGTAATTTGTGATGTGGAACTTAATTTTTTTAAAATAAAAAACAATACAATGCTTGAGCATGCTTTGGTTGATGTATAGTTAGATATTTTTTGTTTTTGTTTTTGTTTTTAGGGCCAGCAACTTGGGACAACCTGGAGTTTGGGCATTTGAGATTGGTGGCTCAAATGATATCCTATCGGCCGAAGGTACTCCGTCTCCTGCCAGTGTAGAATACAGCGACTATGAGCAATTCCAGGAAGTGACTTTAGACCCTTCCATTCTTCAACAAGATCCCATTGAAATAAGCCATCCAGAAGTCTCCTATGATGTTTCTGATAGAGGAGATAATTTTCAGACTGGATACAACTTACCTCAGCCAGTAATAGAAGATGATTTTCAGCTTCCATACCCAACTTTAACTGATCAGCCTCCAGTTAAACTTCCACTCCCAACAGGGAAAAATCCACCTCTACAGTTTCCAATCCACCAATTTCCCAACCAGCATGCTCAGATTATTGAAGTAGAAGAAGATGATGAAACTGGAATTGGTAAGATCACCTAGATAAAATTCTATTGATTATCTTTCATAAATACAGTACTATAGGCTGTTTCATGATATACAAAAATATTTATTTACAGAGTGTTCATTGTATGATGAACAACAGATAGGAAGAAATCCACCCCCCACCCCAATAGTTTCTAAATATGCATGGGCATAGGAAGTGTTAAATGTCTCACAGCTTATGTCTTCCACTTGCTAACTTTGCATCATATGAAAAAGTCCTCATTTGGGTGTTGTTGATGAACGAAATGTGTCTCCTATGTGAGCTGCCTTTAATATACATTTACTAATTAGGCTAGGAGAGGCAACCTACAGTTCAAAAACTGAATTCTTCCTCCTAAACATTAAGAATGTATGCAATGTTATGTTGCCATCGATTTGCCTCTTGTGGCCCTTAGCTGCCTAAGAAAATAAACCTTCTCCCAACATTGCAAATTCAAAAGTTTTTCTGGGTACAGGGAATGGCTTTGAAGGACAGGATGAAGAACTTCTACCAAGGCAATGATCAGACCTATTTTGAACTCATTCCAAGAAACCAGTTTGAGTTAATACCGTATTTTCACGACCATAAGCCGCACTAAAAATCCTAAATTTTGATCCAAAATCGGCANAAAAAAGTTAAACAACTGTAGAAAAATAAAGAAAGAAAAATACTGTCAGTAGTAACAGGCCTCTTGGGTGAAGCCCAAAAACATCAGGATCACTACTTAAACCCTATCAGACTGACAAAATCACTATCAGTCAATTGCAAAAGACAGCTTTACTTTGAAACAGCTTACAGCCTGTGATGAATACCTTTAATAGCAACATTTGCCTATTCCAGGTCTTTGGGAAGGACTCAATAGGTGGATAAAATGCCAAATCCAGCCTAAACACCTGGTTGACTGTGTAACAAGCCATTATAATAATAATAATAAAAATCAAGGAGACACAAAAAATAGAAAGTGAGAATGCAGGTTCCAAAAATGAGCAAGAAAAATTGTTAGGTTGTGTAGGCAGAATCTAATTCCATAATCATATTAAAACATGATTTGTTAAATTTTCTTAGAATTCAGACATATAAACTGTAGCTTGTTAACAAAATCACAGTTAGTGGTGTATATACACAATACTAAACCAAAAGCAAACAATCCACTTAAAGTTTAGCTGATTAGGTGAACCAAGACTAATATTTTAACACAGAGGGTGGCTTTTTCAACAGATAAATAAAACATAATGTAATTTATCTTCTAGGTGGTGAGTTTACAAGGCAAGCAGAAGTTACATTCCTCAGCAACAACGAAAAGCTGATCATTAAGCAGAAGTTCAGTGGGATTGATGAACATGGGCATCTTACAATCAGCACGCAACTTGAAGGCAAAGTACCTGAGATCCCATTCGGCTCATCCGTCCAGATAGAACCTTACACTGAGTTATATCACTCTTCTAGTTCGGGTAAGTTAAATACATTTGCAGGAAAGCTTGCAGCCAAATCTATTAATGCAGGATGAAATCATCTATTCAGTCCCTGGTCTCTCCAGGCTGGAACTCTTTTTAACCATAGGAGGTATATCACACCATTTATGAAACTAATTGACATTAAGGACCAGAACCCAAATCAACATATGCAATATACAGGTATTCAAAGCTACTGGTAACTTCTCAGCCCTTCAACGCAGCTCTTTCAGCTTGTCCCCCAGGAAACAACTTAAGGACTATTGAAGAAAGGAGATAACTGAGATTGATTAGTTTCCAGCCATATGCTCAAAATAAGGGATTATCTTGACTGAGAATTTTGAGGGACATGCTAAGGACTACACTCCACAAATACAGTTTATTTTGACAGAGTTTGTATTTAATAATTCCCCCCTCTCTCTCATGAACTCTTTCAATTTGTTTGGCAATTTTTGTAGAGATTATAAAAACTTCAATAGAAGCTTTGGGAGAGCCACATTTTTTTTATTTCCCCAATTTATATTGCAGGGAACTTTATGTGATCATTTATAATTACCTATAAAAAGATACTTCACATTATTCTTACTATATTTAAATGTAAACATCCATTGTGTGGAACATGCTTTACTGAAAAGACTTTGCCTGACAAACCTTTCTGTTATGAAATTGTTCAGTACTCAAGTCTTATCAATTTGTACTCAAATAACTGAGGATGTGACCAAATGTGGGCTGCAAAACTTCAGATGACCACTAGGTAACAGCAGAGTGTTGAGTTCTCTGTGCCTCTTAGCTGACAGCTAGTAATTGTCCAGATTTTTGTAGTCTAGATCTGTAAGACCTATGATCAATTGATTAACTATTCAGTGTTGTTTACCATTTCATAGATTTTAAGAGCTTGCTCTCAAAATCATCCATTTGTTTGATGGATGGAATTTAAGATTGCAAAACAAGACATGGTACAAAAATTGAATTGTGTGATACAATGGGAAATATTTCTGCTTTATTATGAAACCTGATGGGAAAAATGGATCATTTTAGGAAGATTCTACTGAAGTCCACACAAAGATGCTGAGATTGGGAAACACTTGTCTCAGGAGATCTGCTGCTTTTCTTTAGCCCAGTTCAACATTTTGAACAAGTCAGCTGAGGTCTTTAGTTGCGCAATATAAAAAGTTTACATTTTTGCAACATTGCAAAATTAACGTCTTTAGTTGAATAAAAGTGAAATGAATATAAATTAAACACAAGCTGATTGATATTGTTGAGACTTAGCTTAAACTATTGTGTAAAGATATTAAAAAGATAAAATAAACATTAGCCTTTTATAAAGGAATGAATTGGAAAATACCTCTCTCACACACACACCCCGGCACAATTCATAGTGGAGAAAGAAACAGTGAAACAAATTTATATTTGTTCACATTCCTCCTCCTGTCAGTGTGAAAAGCTGTTCTGAAGAAGCAAAATAGCTCTAAAACAGCATGAAATATGACGAAAGAGTGCAGAGGCATGAGAAAATAAATAAGTCCTCCACCCCATTTCCTCTGCCAGTAGGAAGAAAATATCTTTCAGAGTCTTGTGTGAATAAATTATCAAGAGTCAGCCCCATCATTGTAGAGCTAGATTGTTTGTCATATTTTAATATTGTTATGTTAAATGAAATATATTCAAGTGTGGCTAATTTTTATTAATATGAATTTATTTCATATATTTCAGTTATCACATCCTCTTCTACCAGAGAGTATACTGTGACAGAACCAGAAAGAAATGGAGTATCACCAACATACACAGTTTCTTATCAATGGCGACAAACTATTTCGTTTGATGAATGCATCCATGATGATTCCCATCATTCTGGTTCAGCTACTCAGCAGCTATCAGTGGACAGTGTCTTTGTCTTATATAACAAAGAGGAGCAGATTTTGCGATATGCAATGAGCAATTCAATTGGCCCAATTGGTACGTTCAGTTGACAATTAGCCTGGTTTACTTCCACTGCCTTTGCATAGAAGCCTGTCTTTGATTTTATATTTGTGGGTTTTCAGATGCAACAGTCCATATAAAAGAGCCATTCTCTTTGCTAGTCCACCATCCTGCTTCCCACAGAGTCAAATCAAACATCTCTAGGATGTAATAACTGAAGGCAACAGTCAGCCTCCTGCTGTTCATTTCTAAAATTAGTTTCTGACATATTGCCTTTGATCCTAGAAGTTCCATTAACAATTCTATTCTTTATGAGTTTTACAAATCTTTGCTTAAAGTAACTTAAGCTAGTGACCATCACTGTATAGTGTGCCAAAAAAAAATTCCATACATATTTTAGTGAAGAAATACTTTCTTGTGCCTGCCTTGAACTACCTGTGCCATCCAGTATCAATGAAAGACCCTGAGTGCTAGTATATGAGAAAAAAGAATTCACTATCCATCCGCCATATATAAATTCACAAATTGTTGTTATTTGCTCCTTTAGTGATATTTTTGCTAGTTAGAAAACCCAAACATTCAACCTTTCTTCAAAAGGAGAATGTTTTTTTCTTCTGCTCTTTGATATTCACTGCAAAATGGGTTGATTCGTGAACAGCGCTATTTATCTTCTAAGAGCAGACATAAAAGCAATTTGTTTTTTAAAGGACCTATTACACTGACAATAATACAAACCTATATATAGCTATTCTAAAGTAAGTTTCAGTGATTTCAGTAAGGCTTATTTCCATGTAAGTGCATATGGATTGGTTCCTTAAATGAGAAATACCTTACTGTTTGGGTATAGCTAAAGAATATTTTCTTTCTGAATATTCTCTATCTGATTTGTTAACATTCTATCATGAAATTTCATAAGTAAGATAACTCATTTGTTAGATGTCTGTGCTTAAGATCACATATGAAGTCATTGCAATTTGACTATAATGATATATTATTAAAATGATTGCATTTTAAAATGATTAAAATTGTTCAGAAGCCAAGCTGAGTTATGACTAGAAGATAGATAGATAGATAGATAGATAGANGGCTTATAATCCGGTGCGGCTTTTGGTCGTGAAAATACGGGTATTTCAGAGAGCCCCCCCTCTAGTTCACAAGAATATAAAGTGGAGGAAGAGGAAGCACATTCAGACTTGCAAGATTCTGTTACTAAGGTTGTTTCAATAAAAGTACTCCTGACCTATATGATTTTGGTTTTTTTTAATCTCGTCTATCTTGTAGAGCTTATAAAATCTTTGCAATCCTGGTCTTAGATAGAGAAAATAGCATTGTTAACTAGCTGAAGGGAAAGAGCTGGAATATTTAGTAGTGCATTGTAAATAACTTGTATACTTCTTTGTTATCAAAGTCCTTTGAAACAATCCTGACATGAATTGAGGCATATTATACAGATGTAATCTTGTAAAACATATGTCTTCTAATTTTGGATTACTTCTCCATTTCTCAATGGAGGCAATTATGAAGATTAAAATTCATAGTAAAAAATACCAACACCACCTAACAACTCAAAGCATTGGAAAACATTTTTAAAAGCTTGGAGAATGAAAGTAGAGGCAGCTGCTGAGGGAGGACAGTCTGGGAACAATGCAAAAGAAAGTCTGGTGCCAGGGATAAAAAAAGCATCTTGCTATCAGTAAGTGAAAAATTGTAAAAATTGGATCTTGCCATCAATCTGTTACTTCTGGCTCTACTAGGCTGAATTTCTATTCTGTTTCACAACTGGAAGAGGTTTGGGACTTTGGGTGCCGGAAAACTAAATGTGGCCAATAGTAATTAAGGAGACATTACTTCTACAATAAGAAATATATTCCTATATTACGTGGTTCTGCATTCTGTACATTTTTAGCTAACAAATGGGGAGATTAAAGACATCGTAACTGGCTTAAAATTTGGTGAGCTTAACCAGTCTTCCACATAAAGCATTGTATTTTCCCCCCTTATCTACAGTGTTCCGTTACAATACAGATGTCCAGCAAAGCTGTGCAAACAACCGCCATCAATGTTCAGTTCGTGCTGTTTGCAAAGACTACCCAAGTGGCTTTTGTTGCAGTTGCATTGTTGGCTACAAAGGAAATGGCAGGCAATGTGTAGCTGAAGGTAAATGTTGGTTTCCAAGTTAAATATCTACGGTAAATAATATAGCACAGCATTTTCTGAAGGGTCTTTTCTTTGGCGAATGTAAATGTTATTCTCTATATCCAGTCCAGGATATAGTAGAGAACTCTGAAATACTTAACTTTCTGAAATTATTAAAGAAAATGTTACTAGCTACTACAGGATTTCAAATTAATGCATAATTATTTTTAAAATTGTTAATCTGAAAAAGGGATTAACTCCACATTTTCCTGGTGTTCTTAAAGTTATTATTAAAAGAACACAACTTGCTAGTTGGTTAACAGCAATAGCAATTAGTTGTATATAGACTTATAAACCTTTTCATAGTACTTTACAGCACTCTTTAATGTGCTTTACAATGTTTACAATATTTACAATGTCAGCATGTTGCCCCCAACAATCTGTATTCTCATTTTATTGATTTCAGAAGGATGGAAGACTGAGTCAATCTTGAGCCCCATCACATCAACCAAGATCTACAATACTACTACAATACTTACATTTCCCTGTTTTATTTTACTAGGTTCTCCTCAGCGAGTTAATGGAAAAGTCAAAGGACGGATTTTTGTTGGAAACAACCCAGTACCAATTGTATTTGAGAACACTGACCTCCACTCATATGTTGTGATGAACCATGGGCGTGCATACACGGCCATTAGCACAATTCCAGAAACTCTGGGTTTCTCCTTGCTTCCTCTTGCTTCCATTGGGGGTATCATTGGATGGATGTTTGCCGTGGAACAGGAAGGTTACCAAAATGGATTTACTGTTACTGGTAATTTCTAACATTTGTTCTCAAAATTATGTATTATATTTATGTTTTAATATTTGTGAGGATTTCTACATTCCCATTTTCAGAAGAAGACAAGGGGGAAAACCACACCATAATGTACTGTTTTTTATTTCATGAACTATTATTTTCATTATTTCCCCCATCCTATTAATAAAATATTATTATTATACAATTGTATCACAGCGGCCAGTTGTTTCGCCGGACTTGGCATTGGTTACTAGTCGGGCCCCACC